GCGGGGAGTCTGCTTCTCCCTCTGACCCTCCCCCTCTCATGTGCTCACTCTCTATCATTCTCTCTCTCTCAATAAATAAATAAAATTAAAAAAAAAAAAAGCCAGTCTCAAAAGAATGGATACATACCGCATAATCCCATTTATGTAAGACTCATGAAATAACATAATTACAGAGATGGAAAACAGATTAGTGACTGCTGGGGGTTGGGGGCAGTTAGGAATGGGAGGAAGAGGGGGGCTGTCACTAAAAGGGGTGGTACCATGGAGTCTTTTGATGATGGTACAGTCAACTATGTATCTTGAATGCGACTGTAGTTACCCAAAGCTACACATCTGATAACATTACATAGAGCGACACACACACACACACACACACACACACACAAGTGCACGTATAACTGGTGAAATTTGTATCTGCTCTTTGGATTGTACCCACGTCAGCCTCCTGGTTTGATATCGTATTACAGTTACACAAGATGCTAACTTTGGGGGAAGCTCGGTGACGGGTGGAGGACCCCCCCTCGCCTGCATACATTTATTTGCAACTTCCTGTGAATCTAAGTATTTTAAAATAAAAAGTTTATTTATTTGTGATGAGAACACTTAAGCTCTACTCTCTTTCAATATAAAAAGCTTAAAAAGGCTCGAACCCAGCACGACCAGTCATGGCAGTCATGCAGCGTTGTCTTGCCATATGTTTTGAGATATGTTTGACAATTTCACTGATGCTGTTCCCTATAAATGAACAGAGTACGCGGAAACTTCAATGAAGCATTCTTTTCCAATGCTGTGTATTCACAGAGAGACTAATGGCGTTTGTTCTCTGTGTTGTCTGAACCTTAATCCTACCACGTGCTTCTGTTTTCCATTTTGACAGAGCTGTACTTGGGGCTGAGTCATCTTAACCCCACCTTCCTCCCCTCTAGGACGGTGGCAATGGTGTTATGTTTTAAAAAGGCGTTCCTCTCTCTTACTCTCTCAGAGAAACTTCTTTTCATAGTCCCAAATAAAAATGCTTATTGCATTCTCCCTTCTGCATGCCCCACTCTGTCCCCATTTTGGGATGGGACTTAAAGCCTTTGGGTACTTTCAATGTAACTTACTCATTTTATGTTCCAAGCTTTATTGTAGCATCCTAAGATTAAGCATTCAGCCACTTAGGAGTGTCTTGAATTTCTAAGCAGCTAAGAAATCCTAGGGCTTTCTCTTGTATCTTTTCCATGGTGAGTAACCTTGTATTCAGGGAGAGGAGAGGGAGAGAAATGGAGAAACATCAATTATACAGAACTATTCTTTGGAAAGCCTGAGTGTCCATTTATCCTTCTCCCCAGGGGCAACACACACACACACACACAACTTAGTCATTCCTAATAATGTGAAATAATACAAAATGCCAACACAACCGTACTTGAATAGTGACAGAGTAAAGTAAACTTTGGCACAACAAGAAAGCCCCATGAGACCTCCTGTTTACATCTTACTGCAACAAATCACTTCCCCTTAGACTCACGTAAAGACTCAAAGCTGATGACAAAAGCCAGCCATTTCCTCCTCGTTTGGAGAGAGGAAACAGAGAGCTCTAAGTTCCCTTATAGTACAGAAGAGCAAAAATCCATCCCTTTAACTGGGTCCCTTGTGGTCCATCTGTGCAGTTCTTAGGGCTTTGCTATCAACCATGATCACTGTATTTCCCAGTAAGAAGCAGCCGTGTTAAGACATACCTATTCATCTTGGGAGAGAAGATATCTTGTTGTATTTTTGATATAGCGCCTTGAATTCTTGAAGGGAAAAATCAGAAAGATTTATGTCAATGCCACGGGGCTGGTACTAAAGTTGAAGGTCTAGCTCCTAAGGCTGGCTTAGGAAAGGCTTACAGACCAAAGCCGGGGGGTGGGGGGGTTTAAAAAGATCGCAGAAGGCTTTTTTTCTTTTTTTCCTTCTTGAAGAGTTGTTCCTAAATGAAGGAAATCATGTACCCTTCCTCCTTTTTGCTTGTACATGCAGTATTCTTTTTTTAAATGAATTAAAGCTTGAGGGAAGATGCTACCAGATAGTTTCTGAAACTGATGCATGGTGGCTTTGCTATCCAAGGAGCAAATGGATTAGCTCCTGGATGGTTCGCTCCTGTCATTAGCTTTGTTTGCTCTGGGTGCTTTCTCTTTTACCAGTTGCTGCATTTTGCATGATCTCTCCCTCAGCCGCTTAGGGGGTCTCTTCTGAGACTGACTCTACTCTGAACACAGACGAACTGTGTGGGTGCAAGGGAGGAGCTCAGAGTAGCCACGTGCCTGCCAGTCCATCTCGGACAACCTGCGGTCATAGTGGGGTTTGCGATCACCAAGCCTCTTCAGAATGCCCTGGTTTTCCACGGTGATTCTCACTAGTTCCCGGTTCCTTGTTTCTCTGTTTAAGCTGAAAAACACAAAATGCTGAGATGGCTGGAGAATAAAATTCCCTTCTTGGATGAAGTCGTGATGTCATAAACCCAGGCTGCCTAAGTGCAGGGAACAGACTTTCCTGCTGAGCCCTGAGACACCCCCCACACCTGTTGAACTAGACTACGCTTTGGGGTCCGTGCACAACATTGGCAGGTTTCTATCAGTGGTTCTCAACCCTGACGTCCACTAGAAGATTCTACTTTATTGGTCTGGGTGCACCTTGGGCATTGGCATTTTGTAAAAGCACCCCAGCAATAATTATGTGAAACCAGGACTGAGAATGTCTGGTTTATATGACGGGGGAAGGTCTTGCCTATGGACACATCACAAAAGGCTGGTGACAAGTTTTGCTTCACCTCATCTCACCTTTCAACAGTTTCAGATACACAGGATATAGGAAAGGCACCTTGACACGCCCTCCTACACACACACACACACACACACACCGACCAAATTCTTTCCCTTGCATACACTTCTTTTGTAGCCCTGTCTACACTGCATTATTATTTACAGAAAAGTCTCCCCTAACAGGTCTTGAGTTTTTCGAGGCTAGGAAACATATATATCTCATTTCGTCTTTGTATTCATAGCACTTAGCACATAGTAGTTCCTCAGGAAATATTTGAGGAACCGATTCTTAAGAATGCTGTGTCAAAGTCCCAGCTACGGTCACCATTTTACAAAAGCGTGCAGTGTTTTCTTGTGACAAACTCTGAATAGAACTCCAAAAATTCTCTTAGGTGCAATAAAAGTTAGCTCTTTACCACTAGAGAAAGGTCCCCGTTTTGGGTAGTTTTCATTCTCCTTAACCTGGTCTCTGGCTACCATCAAGATACCTTCTCTCGAGTACACCCCCTGCTCAGGAGAACCTCGCACTAAAATCCAACAAGGGGAAAGTCAATTTTGACTTCCCAAACATGAAGAGAGGAGAGAGAACACTACCTCTTGGAAAAATATTCATTCCAGCAATCCACCTTGGCAGGGCCACGATGGGCATTTGCGATTTTCTGACACAGTTGCTTGTTTTCATATTCGATTTTGTCGATTCGCTTTTGTTCACCCTGGTAAGAAACCGCATCCCCACCATGGTCACATCGTCCAACACCCAAAGGCTCCGCGTCACCCTCCTCTGGGACGGTGGGAAAGGGGCAAATTGAGGGCCGCAGTGGAGCCTGGGAGGAGAGCGTAGGGATGGGTGGTGTGCAAAGGACAGGGAATCTTAACAAATCTCTTGGTGAGGAGGGTATTTGTATGTCTGGGAAACTGGGCCTCTTCAGGACATCGATAAAAATCAATAAAGTACATCCGCAGATGGCAAGAACAAATACCTGTAGTTTGCTCAGTTTTAAAATGTGATGTGTGGGGGTCACTGGTGGTTTGGTATCAACAGTAGGCTTCACTAGAGGATAAAAGAGAGCCACGTTACTACACAGGGGTCCTCTTAGCTACCTCGGGAAACCTGCTCACGTTCCAGACAACTAACTGCCCCGACTAATAAACATGACGATTTTGAGCTCTGACCTTACTCTGGTTCAGGAATTTTAGGTTAGTTTAATTTCCCAAGCTGACATCTTTGAAGAGTTTTCAGCACAAATAACAGAATGTGAGGACCAGAACAACTAAAACAGAGATAAATGTCCTTTGCATCCAATGAAAGATTCTCTCCCATCCTTTCCCAGTACAACTAGCCTGTTGGGCACTGGAGTCCTACCCTCTCTCTAGCTTACTCTGGCTTTAAAGAGTTTAAGTGAGCATTTCCATCCATTGATAAATTTTGTCACTGATGCCAACGTCCTCTTGACCCAACCCAGCAGAGAAGGCCATATCATCACAAGGCCATGTACTGGTCTGGTTTACTGTCACTATCCCTAAGGTGTGGACCCTTCCAGAACTCCTAATCGCAGTGTCCCGCCCCAACTGCCCACATACCTATTTGTATTCTATTCTTGTGAAATATATAGTGGCTAAAGTCCAGTTTCTTTCTGAAGGTTGTGCTCTGTCTGTGATTAGAAACAATTGCAGGGTAGGCTAGATAATCCAGGGAATTGTTCATCTTCTCTTCCTAGTCTCACTTCAGAAATGAGGCACCCAGGCTCCTCTGTGAGGTACTTAGAGGTCCCCATGACAGGTTGCCATAGTTACCCCGTTACGACATCAGGGACAGGTCTTGGGGAAGGAAGAAGAGGGGCAGAGCATACTTGGCTGTCCCTGGGCTTCTGTTTGAAAGCTAACACAGGTCCGAATCAAGATGAGGGGCAAGACTTAGAATCTCTCCCACCTGCCTGGCATGTGGATGCCACCACCATCAGGGGGAACAGGTGTGGTGCGCCGGGAGGGGTGGGAAGGCACCGGGTGGGAGGTGGGGGGTGGGGATGGAGAAATCCAGCAGCTATAAGCGGAGGGGTCTCCACCACGGTAGATCTTCTGGAGGTGTGGGACCACAAGCTTTTGGGGGGAGGTGAAAGATGACCCTAATGAGAATCTCATCCAGTTTCTTCATTTTGCAGATGAAGAACCGGAAGTCCAAAGCAATAGCCTGTTCTGCTCAGGAACCAAGTTAGTGGCTGGGCCCGGCTCAGGATGGGGGGTTTCCTAAATTCCTGGGACATTCGCTTTTTGGAGGAGTGGGGGGGCGGGGTGGGAATCTGCCATCGGCAGGAGGACAGAGATTGTTTTCTGCTTTTAGTGGGATTTCAGCAAATGAGGGGCTGCCGACAGCGATGAGGCTCATGGCGGGCTAGCAGCTGCTCCTGGAAGGGCTGCAAAGGAGCCTGATTCATCTCCACGCTCCGACAGGTGGAGTAGCACCTCGGAAAACCTGCTCACGTTCCAGACAACTAACTGCCCCGACTAATAAACATGACGATTTTGAGTTCTGACCTTACTCTGGTTTAGGAATTTTAGGTTAGTTTAATTTCCCAAACTGACATCTTTGAAGAGTTAGGAGTTAGGTCCTAGTATCCCCATGTTTTCCCCCCAGCAAGCAGCCTCAGAGAGGTGGATTTGCCAGGGCCGGAATGCCACGCCTGGTTGCACAGAGTCCAAGCTTTGAAGCCCAGTGCAGACTCCCAGTAAATGTTGGAAGAAATGTGCCTCAGAGTTGGGCTTCCCAAACTTTAACCTTTCTAAGGATCCCCAGGGGGGGGCCTGTAAAATGCACATTCTCATTCAGCGGGGCTGGGCTGGGACAGAGATTTCGCATTTCTGACCAGCTCCCGGGTGATGTCAATGCCGCTGGTCCGCAGCAGGCAGATCAGCTCACAAGCGGAATCGGGTATCCCGGTAATCCTGCAAAAACTAAGCGACACCTGTGTGTACCCCGTTCAGTGGGAACATTTATTGCGCTCTGCGTTTAATCCAATGAAGTTACTGCACTTCCCCATTTCTAACGATGCAGGAAAGGCCTCAGCTGGGGGTGGGCCGAGGACCCCTGAAACTCCCGGGTGGCGCCATCTCCGCCG